CGTGCACAAAGCTGACCCATTTTTGTCTACCGGTAAAGTTTAAACGTTTTTTGTCAATCAAACAGGTCGCTAGTTTTCTCACCAGTTTTTGATCAGTGGGATATCAATGGCGCGTCTTGTGCGCCCGGATCGGAGGTTGAATGGCCGTGGCGCCCACAGCAGAGCGATGCCATTAGCTGTGTGGTCTGTGTAGAGTGGGGTCTCTTTGAGGAAGGGTTCCACGTACTCGGGCAGCTCAAACTCCTCGTCATCATCTGGTAGAGGCTCCTGACTCTGAGCAAGTGGAGGAAATTACAAGATGTTAAAAAAAAAAAAAGCTAATGTATTGATCACATTTAATTTCATGGTTGCTGGAATTTAATCCCAAACAATATAAACTCTGAAGTCTGTATAATTATCAAAGAAATGTCTGATTGGTGAAGGGCTAACTGCACATGCAGCCAGCAATAAGTAAGTCACCATTCATTTTAATTTACCTCCAGTTCTTACGCACAGGCAAGCAGACCAATGCAAGTGCGCCTTTGTAGGAGGACTTCAAAAATTCTTTTGTGACAGAATGACATGTATCTTTAACCTGCAGGAAAATGTATAAGGTTGATAGTCGGCTAAATTCTCTGCTCTTACCTTGACAGAGTGTCTGTGTGAAATGGGGTTGATCAGCGGGTCAAAGTAGAACGCTGGGAGATCTGGATCCTCAGTCTTGATAAACACCACATTAGGTGTGTGATACCTGTAGGGGTAAAGTCATCAGTCTAATGTCTTTCAACCAATGTAAGAGATGTCAAAGCAAATTAAGTGACTGCATAAGTGAAGAAGACAAGTGTCATTCCAGATGAGATACATCTGAGCTATTTTCTCATTGGTTAATTTAACAGTCAATGAACTGTCTCTTAAGAACAGAATCATTCATTAATGTCCTACCAGGTGAGGTGAACATGATGTGGCAAGTTGTTGTACAGGTACGGGAAGGCGATTTTGTACTCCGTTCTGATTGGCTGACGAATGATGATCTTGTTGATGTCATTGAACTCGTTCCAGTCTTCATCCCTGCAGGTAACACAGACACCGATCAGCTAAGACAAAAATCATTCAGCCTCTATTCGGCCATGTTTTGATGGTGGGTAAGACAGGGATTTATTTTAACAATGACAAGAAACATGCATGTTTTAATAGTGAAAATAAATTAAAAATAAAGAAAATTATTAACATCTATGAGCATGCAAGTGATGGTCCAGGCTATGTTGCTTAAAAAAAAAAACAGAATATTTTGAAATCCTCATGTCCTTACTGAAGGTTGATGTCCCTGACCAGCGGTTCAAACTTCGGCCCCCCTGGGATGGCCATATTTAAGGCCTTTGAAGTAAAGAAGGCCTTGAGGTCAAACAGATAAAAGTAGTTGAAATCCACAAGGTCAGTCAAAAGCTGATTGGCCAGGCGGTACAGTGTTGACATCATGGGCAGTGTGAACTGCCAGCGACGGTACGTGGTGCCGTTCACAAACCTGTCAAGCAAACAAAATAATAATTGTTAGATTTTTCCAGCTTTATATGAGGCGATTGTGAACATTTTTACTGAGCTTACTTAGTTGTGTCTTTGAGGGGCTGGTGCTCATAGAACCACTCCACACATGAGGAGTCTTCCTCTGTGTCCAGCTCCATCTGAATGGCCTCCAGTGGTTCCACATCAAGGATATTGTCAGCATAGTCTAGCGGCGGCTCCTCATCATCAAATGGGGGAAATCGCATCCTCTTGAAGTGCCGACGATCCCGCTTCTCACGACGCATCATGATCCACATGGTCCTGGAAGTATTGTAGCAGATACCAGAGATTAAAATATTTTCTAATGACATGTGTAAACAATATCTTACAAGGTACCAAAAGAGTTCATGGTGAATAGCTGAGCATCAACCGACACCACAGTCTTACTTACCCCCACTGAGCAATGTAGACTGGCTCTATGACCCAGGGGATTTCATTCACAAAGGAAATAGCCCCCGTGATGTGGTAGAGGACGGGCACATCTCTGATCTGTTCCCAGGGCATCGGCATGTTTTCCAGCAGCTTCAGCACTGCATGGGGCATGTACTTTAGGGCACTGGTTAATGCAAAGACAGAAACAGTATGTGTTACAGACGAACATTGTTTATCAAAAAAACTAAAACTAAAAAGGTGTTTATAAAGACCAAGAAATTGTGCACAACTGCTGTAAGTTTTTAGCCAACATGTGCATTACATTCTACCCAAAATAAACCTGAAGATGTTTATTAGTTTAGACTAAATACTTGGCTTTTACCAAGATTTTTTAATTAACCAAAGCATGACTTGTTCTTACCCCAGATATACCCTCTTGTCATGACGAAACTTCCTGTTGGTCATGTCGCCGTGGTCCCTGATGATCTTGCGAACATGCTCAGGCGGCATGTCTTCCTTCTGAGCATCCACAAAGCCAAACTTTCTCTTCTCCGAGTAGCGCTTTGCTTGCAAGTGTTGCCATTTTCTTGCTGTAGAGTTGAAAGACATGCAACGTATATTGAGAAATTAATAAAGTTGGTTTAAGATACAATTTATGGATAACAAAAAGGAATGTGCTACATTGACTAAGAACAATATACCTTTCTCTTGCAGTTTTTCTTCTGTCATGTAGTCAGGGACAGGCGCAGGAGGGGGTACACCTGGTGGCATCCCAGGAGGAACCCCTCTGTAGGGGAAGGTAGCAGCCATGGCGCCTCACTACAGAAAACAAAAAAGAGGTCATGTAAAAAAAAGAAAAAGCTGCTTTGGATGTTGCATCTTGAATGATTTCAGAATTGGATTGTAAGGTTTAATGTTGTCAAAAACCTGGGGCTCTAGACTTGAAAACACAACAATAAATAAAAGTCTTTGTTAGTATAACAACTTTAACAAAGCCTTCTGCTTTGCTTTTAGTTTCGTTAGTTACTTTGTTGATTAAATTTGTTTTTATTTCTATTTTTGCTTCCTGTAGCACTTTGAGATTTTTTGGAAAAATGTCAAGTGCGTTACAAATTAAATGTATTATTATTATTATTATTATTATTATGTCGTTAAATACTCCAGGAAAGACCAGATTTGTTTGTTGCAAAATCCTATAATTAATTTAAATGCTTAAGTGTTTCTATAAATAAAATAAAAGTCTGGAACTGTGTGAAACAATAAAAAACATATTAGTTATAAAATCACTTTATTAATAATTAACTAGCAGTAGGGTAGCTAGTTAGCTGAACAACATGGCTGCCTGTGCGGCACAAACTGCTCCGCTGCGCAAAAACTTCTAATTAAACAGAATTCTGACTTTAATACCCCCCCTCGGCAAAACACGCAGTGCAAACTACAAATTATCTACACAGGAAAACCCACACAAAGTTTGCACAACATTCATTTAACGATGGTATTCCGGCTGTTGATTTGGCCCCAGCGTGGATAAAGCTAGCTGCTAAAGCTAGCACGGCAGCTAACATCTCAATGTTTAGGTAACAAAAAAAAACACGTGAACGTCACTCACCTGGCTACCTTCACTACCGGGGTGATCTCGTTACTCTGACGACGGTCTTACTCCAAGTACAGTCGGCTATCAGAGCATTTCTCTTTCAGGGTAATATTGTCCTCTTTTGATTCACTGGTGTGTTGACTTGTCTTCAAGAAGCTGCACGACGGACGGCGGCCACACGATGAGCGCAGTTCAGTTTAAGTCACAGACAACAAGTACGCCGGATGTAAGAACCTCTCACCGCGTTACAGGGAGAGCTTTACGTCAAAATCTACGCAAGCGTTGGACAAGCGCACTTTTCAAGTACCCGGATGATTACGTTTTCCGGGCACTACTGCGCCCTACAGCGTCGGCGTGTACACTGCATGGTCTCAAACATCCAAAAATAAAGGACCGTCCAAAATATAGACTTAACAAAGAATTAATAGACTTAACAAAGAATTAATAGACTTAACAATGTCCTCACCGAATGGAAAAATCAACTACTTGATGAAGTTATTTCTATTTATTATACAACATCGTAGATCTACGTTTGGTTAAACTCTGGAACACTTTACCACCTGAAATAAAATTAATTAAATTATTTTACAAAACAGGTGAAATGCTGGCTGAAAGCAAGCCAGAGCTGTACCCAAGTTTTAAATAGTATTTTAAAACTTTATTTTGAACTGGTTTATAGCATTTGTATTGTTGTACATTGTATTTTAATGTATCCTCATATCGTGTTATGAATGTTGTACATTTTAATCTGTTTGTTTACACAAAGGCCCAATTTAGGAAATTAGCAATAGCTATATAATCTTTATGCAGCACATCAGTTTAATGCTTTCTATTGAAATTATATTAAATTGCATTGTCCCTATTAAATAAATAAATTCAACCTTTTTTCTGTGCTGGCGTATCCTCGTTTGTGAACAGTTCGAGTGGTGAGTGTGTACCATATATTTAGCTAAATAATTATATTTTATTGCTATAGGCCTATACATACAGTTCAGTTATAACTGTTACATTTACATTTTCCAGAGTGCTCGTGTTCATCCTAAATATATAATTTCTTAAAATAGCAAAGCTGTAATCAACTGACTGCAAAAGCTTGGGCTCATTATTCAAATGAAACACCTATGAAACTGAAAATTACATTAGGTGTTGATGTTTTACACCAGCTGGAAGAACTCACATTGCATAAATAATCTGCTAAATGAGACACAATACAAGCTTTAACTTGACATTTCAGATAAACAGTACAGAGAGAGATAGTTATTAGTCTTTTTTTTGAATAAATGGTTCACCATAAGGAAATATGTTACAGCTTTAGAATATATATTTCTACCGAGCTTACTCATTTGTTTCCTAACTGAATGTTAATGTATATTATTGTTATTATTGAATATTTTATTTGTATTTTCTTTCAGCTATGTGCTGTAGCCTCCATGTGACTGAAATGTCGCTTTTAATCTGAAAATTAGTACCGGAAGGGTCATGAAGGAGGGGCGGGTCTGACCCATTCGCGTTTTAATATTTACAGTCATTTGTTTGCGTTCGCTCCCTGAACTTTCCACAGTCACTTCTTGAGTTTTACCGACACGATGGACACTGGTGACGACGTGAGGGAAAATGTTAAGGTACGTTGATCGGAAAGTTCAACTTCATCGCCATGCAAAGATTATGGAGACATTTCTTTCTCAAGTTTTTTTTTAAGTTAACCTTTACATCAGATCAATAGATGTCTGCACAGTCAGAGATAACATTGGAACATATTATTGGTCATTAAAATAAAATAAAAAAATAAAGAAACTATGAAATTATTTCCTAACAAGATATTGCCTTTAAAATACAAACTCTTTTGGACAAATGTGCAAGAAAGATTTAGTCCTTTGAAAGAACAATTTATCACCTTGGGTCATGGTTTATGTTACTTTATAGTTATTATAATGCCAATGCAGATTAATCTAAAAGAACGTGTAAAAGAGTTGTGTGATGACTCCTCTCTTCTTGTGTTTAGAAATACTATGGCAGTCTCCTGGAGTCCACTGTGGATGTGAAGACAAGTGCTCCCTCCTGCAGCTTGTCCTGCGGCATGGTGAAGAGTGTGACAGATGCACTGAGCCTGATTCATCCGGAGGTGACTAAAAAGTACGGTTTGCAATCTTGCCTCACCTTCACTTTTGCACCAGGAAACCGCTTTAGCAATCCCCGAAAATCTTTTCTTTTTTTCACTCCGCCACACCGTGCACCACTTCCTTTTGCACATTTATTGTCATTTGATTTCACAAACTAAGTCTCCAAATAGTTCCTGTCCCACCTGTTGGAAGCACATACATTTACTGTATGTACATTTACTTAACACACACAGGACATTTACAAATAAGACACTGCTGCTGTTAGACGGCAGGGTGAATAGCTTGAATTATTCTTTTATGTTAAGAAACCACAGTTTTATATTCACAATGACTCAGCTGATGAATATTTTCCCATGTAAGTTGATTGTTTATGGTGTTGGCTGAACATACTTCATGTCTTTTTGTTCTATGAGTAAAGCCGGCTACAATAGCCGTTTACATTAGACAGATAGAGCAGGCAAAAATCCATTACAGATCATAGCAGGTTCACTCATAAATAACTTCTTTAACCTCTCTGTAAATACATCGGAAACATATGTGTAGCTTGTAACATCATCCCATATATGCTCCAAAGCACTGACATTCTTCAACACATTACTCTACAGTTTCAAATGAGTGATTATAATTTTGATCCAGCTGAGGATCTAGCTTTCTTTCTGGTCCTTCTTCTGTGTTTGTGGTTTACAGTACAGAAACCTCCTTTATAACATCTGTATGCTTCCCATTATTGCACGTTGATGAATCTGCTCCATCAATGATATTTCCTCCAGATTCTTCGGCTGTGGTCTTCCCTTTGCAGCAAAGCTTGAAGGCTGCCGAGTCCTGGACCTCGGCAGCGGCTCCGGCAGAGACTCTTACGCCTACAGTAAACTTGTTGGACCCACCGGACATGTGACAGGGATAGATATGACTGAGGAGCTGGTGATTACACTTGTATTACACAAATTACATGGCTTGACTTGATTTTGTACTTACTGATTAAACTGCGTTTCTTTAGATCAACACCTCTCGTCAGTACATTGAGTATCATCAGAAGAAGTTTGGCTATAAAGAGCCCAACATCACGTTTTCCCAGGGATACATGGAGAAGCTCAGCGAGGCCGGCATACAAAATGACTCAATGGATGTTGTGCTGTAGGTGTAGAATATGGATATGATTCTGCATGATCTGTCATGTAGATTTCACTGTCGTTTTACCATAAATGTAGTTCAACTCTTTTTCTTTTTTTCTATCCAGATCCAACTGTGTAATCTGTTTATGTGCTGATAAAAGAGCAGTGCTACAGCAGGCCTACAATGTCCTGAAGGTTAGTGGGAAGAATATCTACCAACATCAATGTGTTTTTATACTAGAGAACATACTGTTTATAGTTCTTATTTACAGGAGGGAGGTGAGCTGTACTTCAGTGACATGTACGCCAGCAAAGTCGTTCCTGATCACATGACGAAAGATGTAGTCCTGTGGGGTAAAAGAACCTTGTATTTATAACATAAATTACATAATAACTTAAATATCAATCCATGCAGTACTTACAGTATCTTTAGTTGTGACCTATTTGCTTTCTTGCCTATAGGTGAAGGATTGGGCGGCTCCATGTATTGGCAGGATTTTATTACATTGGCCCAAAGCGTTGGTTTCAGCACCCCACACCTTGTTTCAGCGAGCCGCATTGTGATCTACAACTGTGAGCTCAAAGAAAAAGCAGGTACCTAAAGGCAGCGTTGAGTTGGGATCACGTGGGAGGTTACATTTTATTCTGCTTGGGTGGCTTTGGGCTTTCTTGCACCATGCCCAATTGTTTACGGTGAGAAGGCAGAACACCTAGCTGTGGGAGTGTCACCCAACTGGGGGAGGGGTTACTGCCCTTTGCGATGTCATGAAGGGAAAATCTCCAAACGGCTTGTTTGAGCACGCATTGTATGAAAAGTGGAGGAGGCAAAAGATAAAGAGGATGGACTTTTCTCATAATTGTGGGGTTTGAAGACATGCTAGGCTGTGTGTATTTTGCACAATATTTGACCTTTAAGTAAGTCACCTCTTCATTCTTGCAGGCGACATCAGCTATGCTTCTGTCACTTACCGACTCTTTAAGCTGCCAAAAAATGCGGTCCTGTCTGCAGCAACAGTGACCTATAAAGGGACCGTGGCAGATTTCCCTGATCAGCTGGTCTTTGATTCCTCTCACAGCTTCAAGGTAAGACAAATGTTACGTAAAATAATAATTGTTTTCAACTCAAAGAGTTTACTAACCTGCAGCTTAGTGCACCATTAAACATTCTCAAATGAGTGTTCTACTTTGCATGTATACCATATTAAACATCTTATCTATAATGCACTTTGTACATAGCTTACTATCTTATCTTACTTGTGACTTACACTTGTTTTTTATTATTATTATTATTTCTTTATTTCCCACTGCTGTATTGTGTCTAAGAGAAAAAGGTAACAACCGAATTTCCCCCTGGAATTTATTAAGTGTTTCTGATTCTGATAATGTTGTTGTAAATATCAGTGTTCACTCTTGTGCCGTGCAGAAAGATGTGGCAGCGGAGGTAGATGGAGAGATGGCAGCAATCCTCCAGAGTTCCCGTTTCATCACGGATTTCCAAATCCAGATGTCAGATAGACCAGCTGAGTCCAGCTCGGCTTCAACACAGCAGGTAGACACAAATCTGGATGCTTTTATTGTGAAAGGTATTTTGTATTGAGTTTTACTGAAAGAATATTGCAAATGTTCAGGGTGAGCTTTTATAGTAACTGAAGATTAGTTTCATCCTCATATAAATGTCTTTATATGTATTATTTGTTTTTTTCCTCAGTACTGCCACCTCAATCCATTCCTGCTGGCTGACAAACTTGGATCCTCAGTGAAACAATGTTCCAAAACAGGCAAATAAAGATGAAGCTGCATCCTGTGTTAGCATAACAACGGTACAGAAATAAATACTAATCAAATGTTTTTAGAATATGTAAGCTGATTTTGGGACATTATAGATGGATCATTTTTATCGCGTAACTTTCAGATTTTTTTGAACAGACCATTAATACTCTCATGATTATTATAAGGGTCCACAAACAAAAATAGCACATTTGTACTAAACCATAAAAGCTAATTCACAAAGTCATACATGTTTTTTTTCTTACTAGTCGGTATTGATGTTTTATGTAGCAGATGCTTAACTACCTAAAGTTAAAAAGATGTGTAAAAACCTTCTGCTTACTTGTATACTTCGGTCATCCTGCACCATAAAACTGTGACAGGTATAATTCATTATACATGTTTATTGTGTAATTATTTACAATCAGGGTGTGGTTTATAAAACATTTAATAAACTCTTACTCAGCAGAAAAAGGTTCAGTAAGATAGAACGAGGACAGAACAAAGTCCAAACCCTCGTGAACAAAAAAAGTGGAAACCAACATCCGAACACAAACTCTGATCCTGATGTTTTAAAAAAGCAAACGTTTAATTATGTCTGAAGAATAATGGTTTGCATTTGTTGTAAAATAATTCAAAAAGCAACAAACAGAAATAATTGCATCCCATACAGCACCATTAGTCTCTACAGTAAACATAACACAAATAATCATTGGTCTTAAAACTCTAAAAGACTGGTCTAATACCCGGAGATAAGTAAAGTGCCACAACACATTCAGACTTCATTTTTTTTAAACAAATAAGAAGAGCTTAAAAGAAAGTGGAAAGTCAGAACACGTGTCTGTGTGTAACAGTTCAACAATCAGTTATATGACTTGACTGAACAACGGGCTACAGTTTTGCTGTAAACATTAATTATGAATAAAAACATTATTGTTATTAACAGTTTTATTCATGTTTTTAAGTGCAGTGTTCTAACTGGCCTCTGTATCTAAGATGTGAAACATGATACTCACAGTGGTGGACATGGAGTGTGTGTGTTTTACTGGAATGAAAATAGATAAACATGTAAGGAAAAGATTTTATTAAAGTAGAACCATGCTGCAAATACGATTAAATTCACTGTGACTGGAATAAGAGTCAAAGTGATAATAATTTGGAATATTTATGTTGTCTAGCTTGAGTTGAGCCCAGACTCAGGTGAACCGGCTACAAGCCTGAATGTGAGTGAATGAAACAGAAACAATATATCCAGTGAGTGCACAAAGAGCAAATGAAATAAAGCAAAAACAGAGCTCTGATAAGCGCAGACGTCTGATTTGCTCTTGGGTGCTTTGAGGCAGTGAGGGACACAATCCAATTAGTCAACATTAAATGAAGTGAGGGTTTAAAGAAAAGAAGAAAGGTCGACATCCTGCGTCATTGAGAGGTGTTACTCTGGATGGAGCAGATCTCAGGTTACATCTGGAGCCACTTTAGGTCATCAGATCTAAACAGCGAAAACGAAACAATCACCAAAGAGAAACAAGAAGGATATAAGTCACAGCCTGTGATTTGGCACATAAAACAAACCTACATTTCTAAGAGTGGGACACGGAACAAAAAAAAAAGAAGAAACTAATAACATTGTGACAATGACATTTTAATTGTGTGACTGACTGTATGTCTTCTCTTTCCATGTGATTCTTTCAATTAAGAGACAAATCGGAATCAAGCAGCCGCCAGCAAAGATACAGAATGATATGAGAAAGCTGCTGTATCACTCTGAACTAGCTTCCTACCTCTGAAAGTTGAAAGTTAAAGAGGACTGTTTAGAATAAATTACAAAGATTTCTAATCATAATGTACAAATGTAAGACATTTCGCTAGAGTGGGGTCCCTGCTGGATGCTAATGCCAAATGAGGGTCCTTGGCTGGGAAAAGTTTCACAGTGTGACATCTAAAGCTCCAACAATAAATGTTTTTCATTTTTAAAGAGTAACTAAACCCTAAAACCACTTTTGTTCAACTATAAACCTCTGTATTTGAGTATTAAGTAGTGTTATGGATCAATTCAAGTCCCAATCTCGACAAAGTATTGAAATTCGAAATATTGTGTTAGAAATGTGCAGGAGGAGTCAAAGATGAAGGAAGGTTGGTAGTAAAATACCAGAGGAGAATTATCATCACACATCATGTGTCATTATCATCAGCTCTACGAAATGTTTCAGCATCTTTCAACTCGTTCTTTAGGTTTTATTACTCCAAATCTATTTGTTATGAAACAGACTGAATGGATACTTCAGCCTCTCCTAACATCTGACACCGGGTCAATGTCAGAAAAGGAGATTAACAACACGCTGCTAAAAAAAAAGCCCCGAGTTACATTATCCATAAAGATTAACCATAAATGATACTTTTGACAGCAGGATGAGAAAATCAGAAAACACTTCTATGGCATGCAAAGAGCAAGGTCAACATAGAGATCAGACGGATCACACTGTCCCTTCGATTGACAGAAAATAAAAGTTCCTCACAGCAGTTTTAACTTGTACTGTTTCGGTTCAATCTCAGCACTTTCATATGTAATCTTCGGACACTTTTTTTTGTGAAATCTCTAAAAATGTACTTTATACTACCTGCTCCTTAGAACATAGTGGACATTTAAAAATTAGTAAGGGACAAGCTAGTGACTGTTTCTGCTTCCCCCAAGTGGTTAAAAAAAAAAAAACTTACACAGGCTTCATTGTTAAAGCCGAACCCGCTGTCGGTTCATTTTAACAGGGAGAATATTTCCCTCAAATGTCACTAACAGATGATAAGAATGACATAAACTCCATATTTCAATGGCAGTGACTTACATCACGTGTGAGGACTTCCATCATTTTGTCTCACGTTCAAAGTGCATACAATGACCTGTGTTTGGTTTGTGGGGTGTGGGATGACACTCACTGAGTCTGAGCCTTTGTTATAATCTGTCCAGCAGCCATCATCTCTGCAATACGAGCCACAGCTGGATCAAACATCAGACTGGCTGCAGCTACCACCACCTCATCTCTGTTATTAAAGGAGAAATGAAACCCTGTTCAAATAATGTTCATTCATACTCTGCGGCATCAGCACTTATTTTGATACTTACTTTATGTAAAGGGCCAGAAATGTCCTCTCTTCCACTTTGCCTTTAAATATGATTTCTGTGTATCCTTCCCCATAACCTAGAATGAGGAAATAGAAAATGGAAATGAGACTCAGTTAAGACTAGGTTTGAACATTCATTTATATATATATATTGTATAAAGGTGACATTTTCTCATAAATACTGATAAACACCGGTGTATCTGATACTCTTCCCAAGCAACACAGTCCAGAAAAAGGGGACTGACTCGATTTGGGTTGGCTTTTTAACCATGTTAAGAGCAGCTACTCTTCCTAAGACAGAAAAAGAAAAGCAAAGAGGAAAAGTGTGTATATGACGTAAAAACAAGGCATTCAATTCTTTTCACCCATAATATTTTCAGAGGCTGTTACCCTGAGCTTGTGACATTTGCCAGTGACCAATGTTGACCCTTTGATCCCCGCGGATGGTCAGAGGGAAAGAGGTCACATCTCCAGCGCTAAAAATGTCTGGAATATTGGTCCTCATGAACTGTGTGAAAAGATAAAAAGAGGAAACTGATTCAGCACCACGCTTACAAAGACACGTGTACACAGCTGTTCATTTCAGTCAGCCGGACACAATATGCTGAGAGGTTTGTATAATATATCGTAAAAAAAAAACAAACAAAGCAAAGCTGTAAAGTCATATTCATGTATCATTAGCAAGCTCAAGGTTCAGGTGTAGACTCTGTTCTCTGTTGACTGTGTTACCTTGTCAACAATCAGAGCTTTCCTTGAATCCACCTCCAGCTCGCTTCCAGCCAGGAAATCTGTATTTGGGATAACACCTGAAAAAAAAAAGCAGAGATTAATTGCATTAGATGTTTGCAGAACTGCACTGAAAAAAAGTCTGTCGAAGGAATCGAAACAGAAAATGCCACATAAAGTGTTTGCAAAATAACAAACAGGGGGCCTGTTTCACTAAGCAGGTTTTGTGCAAACACTGAGTCAGTTAACCCTGAAATGAGGGAAACTCTGGGCTTCCCTTTCAGAAAGAGAGGTCACTCAAACCTGAGAAAGAGGGTTAAACTCAAGCCCGTTCCATTGAGGGAGGTAACTTTAGCTCAGAGTCAGTTACTATGGTAACTGAGTCTCAGAACCTAACCTGGTCGGGAGCAGGGTTTTCTTCAATGAACCCCGAGTTTCTCCCCGTCTCCTCCCTCTTTCAGAGGCAGAAACGCCGTTTCATTTCCTCATTCTTTCATTCAGTCCGTATCACGCGCATGTTAGTGAAGTGAAATCAACTCAGAGCTCAGGGTTAGACTGAGAGTTTGTTGAACCTACTTTCTGAAAGCGGGCCCCAGCAGTGCTCTACATATATAAACATGTACACTTGATAGTTTATCTATGATGTTGATTAAATTGATCATCCCATCGCAATAGGTAGAATAATGCAATCACCAATTCCAGCAATCACAACGTCTGCTTCCAGGACTGCACCACTCTTCAGCCGCACCCCCTTCACCTAAAAAAAATACTTTTATATCAACTATACAATAAATCAACTATATTCTACCATAGGATACACACAGGAGTAGAATGTCAGGTTTATAGACAGTAGACTTGTCAGCAATAGAGTGGAGACATTTTGAAGGCCAGAGTTCAAAGTTTCTTGGTCCTTGCACTGTGCATGCTGGCTCACCATCAGATGGTCATGTGACATTTCAACACAACAGGTTCATTGTTTTAGTTTTTTTTTTTTTTTTAATTGCCTGTTCTCCTCATACTTGGACATGTTAAACTGTCGGCTATGAAAAAAAAAAGCAGACTTACTTTGCCGTTCTCTCCAACGATCTCCAAAACGTCATCTTTCATGTAGAACTTCACGTCTTTTTCTTCCATCATCTAAAAAAAAGACAGACTTTCTCTTACAGTTTGATACATTTTTATGAAAGCTAACGAAATAATATTCCACAGACATACATGACTGTCATTGTTATTTCTCTTACTTGCATACACATTTTGCCGATTTCTGGCCCAAGAGAGTGTTCGTACGGGGAACTGGAGGTGCCGACCACGGCCACACTGGCAGCTTTGTCTGATAGGAAGGATGCCACCTCCATACCTGTTGTGATGATAGAAAACACGTTGTGGTCTGCAATAACCGGGAGACTTCATGTGTGCGGAGGTGACCTTTATCTTGCCCTTTCAAATATTTGAAGAGCTAAATGGAAGATGTCTATAACTAAGGTCATAACCCCTTCAAAGAAATCATGTGTAACTCATCAAAAGCAAAAACAGACACTTGGATGAAAACCCCA